TTCGCGGTCTATCCTCTTTTTTGTGAGTCAGTGTGTCAGTGACTGAAATAATTTGAACGTCCATTAGTGAAAAAAAACTCATATCGAAGGAAAAACGACGGAACCATTAACCTGAAACCACTCAGCAGATCTGACATCACGTAGAAGTACTTAAAAGTGTCGGAGTTTCGCTCTTTCAGCTGGTAAATTTGTTGTTCGAGGTAATTTGAATGAATAATGAGGCAAGTGAATCTCACGTGAACGAGGAAAGTGTAATGAATATTCGTAGTAAAAAAATATGTCTCCGGCTTATTATTATTACAATCACGATTGTGCAGTTACTGGCTGACTCATTCACTATATGGAAAATAGCAATTTTTTGACATAACTTTCACAGGTGATGCATGTTCGTCATCTTGATTTCATTCAGGCTGGAACCTAGCTCCCCTACCCTTTTAGACTGGCTTTTGTCAGAGAGACAAATGGGTCATAACTGATTAGTGATGGCGACATGAATGTGCTCAGACATCAGTACCGCCCTTCGCGGTGTATCCTTACCCGGCTGGGGTGAGATGGATGAAGATATTATTTATCTTTCAACGGAGGACATGAGGGCCTCATCCGACAGAGTGTCGGTGCCTTCTGTATCGGGAGGGATCGTCTACAGCGTAATCTATAGCTTCCCTAACTAATGGAGTATCGTGAGTTTCCGCACAATCGAAAATTCGCCGATTCCTCGACTGAATGGACTGCTGAACAGAAGGCAGCTGCAAATCTCTGCGGATGGCCTCATTCCGCATTCACGATCATCCATAGTAATTTGTTTTGTAAAGTCTTCAAGATGGGGATGTTGGACGGAGCCGCTTGTACCCAGACACCTGAAGCATACATGATGACAGGATTGAACATCGTGTTGTAGATCATAATTTTGTTTTTAAGGCTTAGCTTTGATCGTTTATTTATCGGACAGAACAGGCTTGCCACCCTACCTTCGATCTTTGCCTTCACGCTTATAAAGTGCGAGTTCCAGGTGAGCCTACGATCTATTAGAAGACCGAGGTACTTTACCCGCGCTTGCCAGTCGATAGCAGTCTTCCCATGGTTATCGCCTGATTCTTTTCCGGGTTCACTCGGATCTTCCATTCAAGGTACCAGCACTCGAGGTCGTCCAATGCACGTTGCATGTAGACGAAGCCGAGCTCTCGACCCATGGAAAAAAAATTACAAGAAAGTTGGAAAAAGCAAGTTCTCTGTGAAACTTCAGCTAAAAAACAATTGAGAAGGTATCACCAAAATTCAAGTGAAAAACCATAAAACCAATTTCTTCTTGATGTTAATAACTACCTCTTGTGGGGGCTTCAACACTGAGATCTTGAAATACTTTGGTAACCTTCCCTGGGAAAAAATATGAAAGGTCGGAACATTCGGAATTAACAAACACCCAGTATATCTGTGAAAGACAAAAGGTTCACTAACTTTTATTTTTATTTGCTGGTTCATAATACATAGTTTTTAAGGAATATAAAGCCGTGTAGAAAATATTACTTTCACAGCAGAATGTTCAATTTTAAATTTTTGTGTGAAAGTTTTTCAAAAAGAATACTGGGAATCGTTTTTCATGGATACAATATATAATCTTTTTCTGTCGGTTTCTTTATCATCGAATATTCAACTATGATTTCAGTGTTTTCTTCTCTAATAATTGAGTCTATACCATTTGTAATATTGAAGAAGCAAGACACATTTTGGATGAGGATATTTTTTTGAAACATGGTTAAATACTCTTGAAGACGAGTTTCTCTCTCACTCATAGATCCTGATGAGAATCTTCGACATTCATTGAGGTTAAATGAACCAACCCATTGTCACTTTGCTCGGCTTCTCCTCACTTCATTTCAACATCGTGAAAGGAAACAAGAAAATTTAATTCAAAAAACTTTCTCCTTAATAAAAATCTGACACTTTCTTGAAAAGCAATAAAACCATGTGTCTACACGAATTTGCGCTTTACATGTAATTGTGCAAATGTTCAAATTAAACACATGTTAACGCATAAAAACGAAAATCCAATTGTATGTCGAAACAGCAATAATTTTCACGGAGCAGACGTTCAACAAGAACAGGAAATGGTAATTTACAAATGTGTACAACTTGCACAGCATATAATTCATTTAGCGGTGTTGTGTACGTATATAATCAAATCATTTTAATATTAATTACCATTGCGATACTGCCTAGTTTTAAAAATAATACGTTCGAAGGAAACCAGGCCAAAAAAGGTATATACCTACATCGAGGCAGGACTGAATTTGTCATGTAATATTCATCCACGTTATCCATCAGTTATATCTGACCCAGTGAAATGTTTATATTGACCTAACATTTCACGAATGATGTTTGATTACGGGTTGAAGTGACAGGCAAAGTCGTTACTGAATATTTGATGGGGGTGGAAATCATTTTTTACTTATCAGTTATAATATACCAGTCACTTTGCTATCAGTGATATCAAAAATCATGGAGAAAGCCGTAATCCACCATATTATTGAGTATTTGGAAGGCTTCAACATCTTGAGTGATCATCAATATGGCTTTCAGAAACTAAGATCAACATGCGACCTTCTATCGTATGTCACCCATATTTTAAATAAAGCAATCGAGAGACATTAAGACTCTAGAGCTATTGCGCTTGATATTTCTAAGGCCGTTTACCGTGTGTGGCATGAGGGTTTGCTGTCCAGACTCCGATGCTATGGCTTGTCGGTCATACACAAAATTGCTGCAGTTTCCTGTAAGAACGTTCCCTGCAAGTGGCCGTTGATGAATATCCCTCGAATACTTTTACCATCAACGCTGGTGTTCCCAAGGAATCCATATTGTCACCAACCTTTTTTTTATTGTACATCAACGACTTATTGGGAAAAACCAATAATCCAATATATTGCTTTGCTGATGATAGCACACTTGTCTCGTCATACTGTTTGGATTCCAGGACATCAAGGTTGCTTATCTTAATGAGGATCTAGTAGGGATTTCGAAACTATCAAGGTTCAATTCAATGCTACAAAAACCCAGGCATGGGTTTTCTCCAAAAAATTAAATGTCTCCGAACCCGATATAATAATGTCAGGACAGACAATTCCGCTTCCTCCTTCGATAAGTTTGTTGGGGGTTAAAATGGACACAATATGTATTGGCACAATCATGTCGCTGGAACTGCAAAGGCTGCTTCTCAAAATCTGGGAACACTGTTCCGAACCAGAAAACTGTGCACACCTCAGCTGCTTCACAAAGCTCAAATCAGACCTTCTTTGGAGTATTGTTCTCATGTACGGAGCTCCGCCCCTAAGCATACCCTAAAGTTGCTGGATTTCATCCAGAAAAGAACCATCCGCCTGATTGGAGACGACACCATCACTTGCAGCCTTCATGATCTGGAACATCAAAAGAAATGTTGGAGATTTGTCTCTTTTTCATAGATACTTTCACGGGAAGTGATCAAGTGACTTGGCACATTTGATTCCACCAAGACCGGTATATATTAGAAATACGCGACGGACTGTGGCTGCTCATTGTTTTGTGGTTCAACTCAATACACGTCGAACTCCACTGTTTAAAAACTTTTCCATCCAATTTGAATCGCTAATTTCGCACAGGCACCGCTCTCAGAGCGCCTTAATGATTCTCCGTTAGTGCTTGTGTTCTGTTCTTGAAAGAAAATACGAGTGATACTATTTTTGAAATCAATGATTTTACACCATTACAACTAAAATATTGCTACCCAGTTGAAAAATCTCGGAACATTTCACTTGTTTGACGTGTTTTTTTGATTGTTTTTTAAACATCCATTTCACATTCAATGACAACGAGTTGCAATAATTGAAAAGCTATTAATTTCTTCAGCAGATTGCGTGAATGGGCAATTTAAGTGCCTCCTAATAACAGATTATTATCCAGATATCTCAGGACAAATAAAAATAAAAGTTTCTAGGTTGAATTCCACAGATATAGGTGTCCGGTATTTCAATTGCTTGCAGTATTCAAAGAGTTTTCAGCAGTGATAATAACAGTAATGATAACTCGATTGCAAGTTGTCAAGGAAAGTATTCTACATGGTGAGTTCACAATTTTTGAGTACATTTTTCACTATTTCATAATCAATAGTTACCTGAACCGACAAAGTTATGTAAAACCAATTGCATGATGGATCTGATATAATAATAATAATAATAATAAAAAAAATATGTTTTTCCGTTTATCAGCTGTCGCCCCCATACGAACAACTCTCAGAAGTTGAGAAACTTGTGCGAGCTACGGACTAACGAGGTCTTACCTTTAGACTTGTGATTACTAACATGAAATAGTGAATAACAATCGTCTTTATTATTTCCCAGCTGTAGTTACATACAAATATTTAGGTAAATTACACACAACTAGTTGCAAAAAGCTAAGTTCAACTCGGTTAGCACAAGTGCTACTGATTTGTTCTCAGATGGGAGAATCCTTGACTTTCATCTTCTTTTACTTAAATAAAGGAAAACTAAAAATTTTTTTTCAACCTGAACCACTGCTGGAGTAGTTTCATGACCACATTAGTTATTTCAATAAAAATATGAATTTGATTTTTTTTCAGTCGAAAATTTGTAGGTTTCTTTCACTAATCAAGTCTCAACTGATTACTGCAACAATTATGCTAAACGTTTTTGGAAAGTCTATATCTAATGAATCATACAGGCATCATTTGTCTTAAATGGAAAAGCTTCCAATTTCTTGATCAGAATCAAAAGTTGATGTCTCTTAACACAATTGCATTAATCCAATAGAAACCCATTGAGAGATGAATCATATTTACTTTGTTTGTTTTAGTTTTTCGAAATATGTCATTACTTTTTTCTTGTATCCTACAGAATATAATTGGGTTAGGTTATACATACCCACATAACTGGAATTTATTTCAATTTTTTTTCAACTAAACATCAACTTAACTCAACATTAGACTAGCGATAATGAAAAGAACAATGTAGTTTCTTTGCACCTTTATATTTGGAATTTCACACAAATTAACTATTTTCAACAGTAACAAAATCAACAAAGTTCTTTTCTTCGTCATACCAAACACATTTTCTCATTCCACAATTGCTAATTACTTCAGTATTCTGTTCTATCTTTCCTTTCTTTTCGTGGTTTTATAGATTTGTATTCTGTTGTGTAGTCATGTTTAGATTCAGGAACCATTCCACTCGTCGACGACATTCAAATGTCAAACTGTCAATTACCTGTGAACGCCCTAAAATAATATGTGTTCAGCAGTACAGTACCATGTAGACTTGTAGACCATGTGGTTTTCCCTGTATATTTGCAACGAGTAAATGTTTAGTGGGATATGTTCAACAGAATGTTATTGCAGAACTTTGGAATCCGATATGAGAGAACTGATACTGTGAATATTTACATTAATTCCAAAGTATATTAAACTCCAGTTTTTGACTGTTTTCTAGTTGTTTGCCCTTGACAATAGATAGACATCCATAGGTTCCGACTTCCCTTTCATAGATATAGGCCCTCTATACTCGAAATGGAACTGATCGTCGAAGTTTTCGCCTTCACACAAAATACTGGAAGAGAGAAAAAAATATGTATACAATTTTATATTTTATATATAAATATGTATACAATTTTACCATTGTGAAGGATTTGAATAATCGATTTTTTTGTATGAAATTTGTCAAACTCAAATTGCAAGTTGTATTTTTTCAGGACGTTGTTCAATAACCATTTATAGATGAAGTTGTAAAATTGGAAAAAATTAGTATCAACATCTAGAAAAACTTATGCAAACGTATTCAATAACACAGTTTGATGTGAAATTTTCACTTGAAAGTTACAAAACTGCGAAACGTGTTTCGCAGCATTTTCAGGCTTTATAATACAATTGAGTATTGTGACATCTAATTATTTGTTTCCATCTGATGCAGGGGAACGATTGGTCTTATAACCATGGGCTTGAAAGTTCCGGGCCTAAGAAAGAAAACACGTTATTTTTTTCTTTCAAAATTGCTTTCATTCATCAACGTAATCTCCATCAAGAGTAACATTTCAATATCTGGCTTGGTATGTGGGGGTTGAGCAAATCGGTCATCGGATGGCTGCTTCCACGTTACCCCGCTGGATACGGGAATGACAGAATCACTTGTGGTGTCACTTCACTTGCCTTGTCACGGTAATGCGGGACTCTGCCGTGGTTGACCTTTATCCTTCAGCTACTCGTGGGACTTTTATGGACGGAGTAAACTTCAAAATTCTTTCTGACGCTGAGCCTACAGAGGTGATGGATGTCGAGCCTACGACTCCAACTGACCTCCCTGTAAATTTAGATCAGGTGCGAGAATTCTCAACTCTTCAACTCCTGATCTAATAACTGAAACAAAAAAAAACCGCTTTGGTGGTGCAGCCAGAAAACGAGTGAGTCGCCTTTTCGAAAGCGGGGTACCTTATGAAACCGCCTTGCACCAAATTCTTGAGCGGCGTACGCAAAATCTGTCTCTGGTGGAGAAAGAAACCCCCCATGAGCAGATTAGCAAACGTTTACGCTCAAGTGATGATTCACCAAAACCAGAGGCGACAAAGCCCTGCACGGTTGAATCTAATGCATCGTCAGATGTAGCTGACGTGCAAAAATCCTCATATGGGAAAGTTGTCGCGGGTATCAAGTTGTGAATCTTGCACCTTGACTATCCGTCTACGTCATTAACGATGAAACAGCTGAGCATATACTTTGTGCCTGCCCCGCTGAGCACCAAATCAGGTTTTCAGAGTTCGGCAGAGCCGTGCTCTTACCATCTGACCACTCACCATATAAACTATGCGGCTTTGTTGAGAAGCTGGGTTTATTTGGTAGAGTGTGAATAGGTGTGAGCCACAATAAACCTTTGTGGATTGTGGTGGAGAGTCGAATAGACTCACTCACTTTGGACCTAATCTAACCTAACCTGACCTAATATTTCAATACCACTTTTGAAAAACGATTCATCTTTTGCCACAGAACAGGTCTCAGTTTCAGCAATAACCACCTCATTCGTGCAAAATTTCTCACTAATGAGCATTATTTTGAGGTCTGCGAACAGCCTGTAGTCGCTGGGGGTCAAATCTGGAGAATACAGTGGATGTGAGAGCCATTCAAAGTTCAATTCATGTAGTTTTGACATTGTTTGGATCGATTTGTGTCACGGTGCGTTGTCTTGATGAAACAAAATTTTTCTTTGCCGTATACGGTATTTCTTCGCCTTTAAACGCTTCAATAACTCTATATAATATTAACTGTCGATAGTATTTTCCTCCTTAAGATAGTCGATTAAAATTAAACCATGCAAATCCCAAAATACTGAGGCAATAACCTTTCCAGCTGATAGTTGAGCTTTCCGGCGCTTTGGACGAGGTTCACCAGTGGCTCTCCACTCAGATGACGATCGTTTTGATTCCGGAATGAAGTGATGAATCCATGTTTCATCCATATTCACATATTGATGAAATAATTCTGGTTAGTTATGTTTTAACATGGCCAAACTCTGCTCAGAATCATCAAGACATTCTTGTTGTTGGTCAACAGTGAGATCGCGCGGCACCCACTTTGAACAGATCTTTCTCATAGTCAAATGGGCGGGTTGGCTGTCTTTGTTCATCTTTCACTGCCTGAACCAGTGTGCCTGCTGTTTTCGGCGAGTGCATTGGCTTAATATGTGCATTGTAGTAGTATGTTAGGGGGTTGAGCAAACCGGCTATCGGATGCCTGCTTCCCCGTAGCCCCGCTGGATACGGGAATGACAGAATCACATATGATTCTGTTATTCCCTAAGTGAATGGCATCCCAACGATTGCTCAATCGTAAGGTGTGTGTATCCTTGCCGAGAGGATGAATGACACTGAGCCTATCAGCTGTCTCCACGGAATCTTCGGGATACCGGGCGCCCTCTCGTAGTAGCATCGCCTTGTCACGGTAAGCCGGGGATCTGCCGTGATTGACCTCCTTTGCCTAGCTACTCGTGGAACTTATGTGGACAGAGTGAACTTAAAAATTGTTTCTAACGCTGAGTCTACAAAGCAGATAGGTGTCGAGTTTACGACTACAACTGACCTCCCTGTAAATTTAGATCAGGAGCGAGTCTACAGAGGAGATAGATGTCGAGTTTACGACCCCAACTGACTTTCTTGTAGAGAGACGAAAAGAGACGAAAAAGCCCTGCACTGCTGAATCTAAGGCATCGTCAGGTGTAGCTGACGTGCAAAAACCCTCATATGGGAAGGTTGCAACTCAACTATCCAACTATTTCATTAACAGAGCATATACTTTGTGCCTGCTTCGCTGGGGACCAAATCAGGTCTTTACAGTTCGGCAGAGTCGTACTCTTACCATCTGACCTGAAAGACTACTCATCATACAAACTAATCGGCTTCGTTGAGTAGCTGGGTTTATTTGGCCGAGTGTGAATAGGTGTGAGCCACAATAAACCCTTGCGGGTAACGGTGGAGGGTCGAATAGACACACTCACTTCAGACCTAACCAAACACAACCCAACCTTACCTAATCATAGTCGAATGCTCATTCAATATAAAGCCAACACGTTCTTTTGAAATCTCTACAATGTCAGTTAACTCAGGCAACTTCACTTTTCGATCATTCAAAATGATTTTGTGGATTTTTTTCTGTTTTCTGGTATTACTGCCTCATTTGGACGTACATTGCGTTCTGCATCATCGGTGTTTCTACGACCACGTTTGAAGTCAATAAACCAACATTTGATTATTGTTTCTGATGGAGCGGAGTCCTTATAATACTTTTCAAACCATTGCTTCGCTTGAACGGCATTTTCCTATCAAGAAGAATTGTGAAATCAAAACACGCAATTGTTTTTGATCCACTGTTTTGAAAATAACAAAGGTGTTCCTGTTGATCAAAAACTTATTGAGAGCAGATAGTTGTTGGTTCACAGATGATCAAAAACACCTTCCGGTTCTGGTGTAGGTGTTTTTAGTCGCAGACCCAGGACAGAGATATCAACCTACATAGGAACCTAAGCGACTGACTGTATTTCAAGCGGAATCAATAATCCAACCTCATATACATGTCGAATGGAGTTGGAAACTCTTGGCTTCTACCGAACAACGTCTGAATTGGTGGCAAATTGACAAAAACGACTCTCCTCGATAGGAAGACTTAACAGATTGTCTCTGGTCTGAATTCCTGGCCACACTGGCCTGGAAGGCAATGAGCCTGCTGACTCCCTTCAAAGAAGGGCGCTGCAAGCAGTTTCATTGGACCAGAACCTGGATTGGCTCATTTACCCTTCGAATCTTGATACCAAACAGTGGACTATAGTAGGGATGAACTACGATGTCTAACAGGCCTTCTTACATGTCACTGTCACTTGAATCAGTATATGCAGAGACTTGGACTGTCGGAAGACAGTGTGTGTTGCCTCTGTCTGGAAAATAATGAAACAGCAGAGCACATACTTTGTGTCTGCCCCGCTGGGGACCGAATCAAGTTTTTAGAGTTCGGCAAAGCCGTACTCTCACCATCTGACCTGAAAGACCACTCATCATACAAACCAATCGGCTTCGTTGAGAAGCTGGGTTTATTTAGTCGAGTGTGAATAGATGTGAGCCGCAATGAACCCTTGCGGGTTGCGGTGGAGGGTCGAATGTACCCACTCACTTTGGATCTAACCTAACCTAACCTAGTCATGAACTCATGAGTAGAATGTCATGAAATTCCAAAAGCTTTTTTTAAAGGATAGCACTAGCTGAAAAAGCGGTGAATGTAATAAAACTAGCGACATCTATGTATTCGGTTCGAGACTATTCAGCCCATGTAGTAGTCCAAGAGCCAAATAGAACTTCAATCACTTATTCCTTCTAGAATGGTAACTGGTAAGATGCATTGGGGAGTTGTATTATGAAGCCCCTCAGACGTCAGCTGCGGTATCATGGATGGCGACAGTAGCCTCCCATGTACGAAATTTTTTTTTGTCAAACTATACCTAATCCAATATTATTGAGAAAACAAAGTCAGCTGACTATAACATAATATATTATAAATCAGCTGTTTGTTTAGACAAGAAATAGCATTGAAAAGCATAGTATGGCAAATAACAGTTTGAAAATGAAAATCGATCTAGCGTGGTTCTTCCAAACCTTTAGCTGGTTCGATTCCACTTGTGAGATTTTCCGTTTTCGCTACGTATCGTCTGGCCTGTGCTAAAAGTTCATTTATAATTAATTCAAATTTTCCAAAAAGCGCTGAAGAATTCATTGAAAAGAGCATATCACGGAAGAATGATCAAATTCGTATACTGTTAGTCATACTTATAATTCACCTCACTGAATCATCTGGTCCGATGAGCAGTCATGAAGAAATTCAAGGTGTTTTCTTCATAATTGGTTGAAAGTACAAAATTCAAATTAGTAAATTGAATGAGGGCGGAATAATTACTCTGTTTAATCGAACAAGTGCTTTTATATTCATAATTTCAAGTGTAACTACCGTTGTGGACAAATTATCAAAGAGCTCAGTGGCCCGACAAGTGATGAATAATTTCTAATCGACTCTAATATGATTGTTTATTACCTGTACACATCTTTAGTTACATTAATTTTCCCTGGCTCTCCAGTAGTTTCTGTTCGACTTGTTAAGTTTACGGTATTTCCGTACAGACAGAATCTTGGCATCCTTTGGCCTATGACACCTGTGACGACTTCACCAGCATGTATTCCAATAGTGATCCTCTGAAAAAAAGGCAACAGAACAACTTCAAAAACGAGCACTTTTCCCAATCACCAGCAATACTCTTCTCGACCAGCGTGGTTCAAACATAACTGGCTGGTATCTCAATCGCCACAAAAGAAATAACCAGGAAAGGAATTTCTGGCAAAAACATAACAATCTGCACTTATAGCAGACAAGCCCTATTAGCCTTGAACAGACAACGTGTTACCTCAGGGCTAGTACTAAAGTGCCTCCAAGATTTAGCCAAAGCCTCGGTAGATAATAACATTATCCTGAGGTGGGCTAAAGGGCACGACAGGAGTAGAGTTGATCGCATTGCCGACTATTTAGCCAAGAAAGCGGTTGGACTAAGAATTTTAGGACCCAGTGACACCTACTGTCTGATGACAATTGCAAAACTGGCCAAACGTCACACCCATGCTCAATCCCTAAAGAGATGGAATCAAAGGATACAATCTTGCCAGGATCACCCTGGGCGACCTTGAAAAGCTGGCGCCAAAGAAATATCTGGCGATGACCAGGATTTCTGACTGGACACTCCATATTATGGGGCTAGTGGACACGCCTCTATGCAGCATGTGTAAACAGGAAGATGAAGCTATCAGGCATGTATTATGCGAGTGTCCGGAATTATCGGCGAGTCTTGGCCTACACCTGCTGATATAAAGGAGATGTCTCCTAGTGACCTGTCCACCTTCCTGAAGAGGACAGGATAGACGATGACCTAGGGGGACAACTCCTCGTGAGGATGTACAATGGGTCACATGTGGCCTAAGTGCTGTGGGCCTACACTCACCCTCCCTACTCTACAGATACAGAGATACTCTTCACGTCGCGCGATTGACGGTTCAAGTTGGTTTCTCAGTTCTCTTCATCTCCTGAAGACGCCAACACGGTTAGTGAAACGCGCGTCTAGAAGAGTTTCGCAGTTGTGGTGATTGAAAGAAGTGCTTGTTTTGCTCGTGAGCAACCTGATATGGATGTTGTGTAATGTAATTGCCCGATACTTGAAGAAAATCTATAACGTACTCGTATCTGAGGAACACTTCATTGTGAAACTAGCGACCGCCCCGGCTCCGTATGAGTGCAATGCTGATACTAAGTATACATATAAAAGCGTGCCTTCGCTGCTAGTCATGAAGTACTTTAGGACGAAGCGCGGCCTTTGACGCCCTATTTATGAGCACTCGCCGCCAGTTCCTTGGCCGGTACCGCCACAACCACTATGTTCCTGCATTTTAAATCTGTGATATCTTCGAAAATATTTAAATTATATGCTGTGAAAGGCCATAATAATCTATATTGAGTGCACACTATATTTGAGGTACTTAACTGAATATTAATTATTGTTGTATTGTTTGAAATCGCTTTGTGAAATAATAAAAGATAAAATGATTGTCGTGGGTTGTCCCTGAAAGAAAGACATATACTATCGCGGACTTTTTTGTAGACCTTTTAAGGTGTACAATACTGTAGTACTATTTTGATATATCTTGTAGGGGTCAGCAAGCGTTTGCAAGGTAAATATTTATTTAGAACATCATATTAGAAACCTCTGAAAATATCACTATTTCTCTATTATATTATGCATGTTATATACATATAAATCTTCCCCTTGAATATCTCTATATGTTGTATTAGGTATAAAAGTAACATACTACATGATACTTCATGAACAACAGTAGCATTATATTGAACTCACCACAACTTGTCCATCAAAAACAACACTTTGGCTTCTATCCATCATATCAAGAGCCAATCTAGCTATATTTTTAGCATGGCTTGCACATGGTTCAGGAATGCCACTGACAGCCATATATTTATCTCCAACTGTTTCTACCTGCAAAAACAACGAAATAATGACAGAAACCAAGACAGAACAACCCTTAAAGCATCAACAGTATTATATTCAGATGAGTTTTTTTAATCATTCTATCAGAAATGCTATACGATAAAAGGTAAAATTAGAAGCTCTGGCGTAGAATAAACCCAAAACAAACACTTTTCCGGACACCAGAAATGCAATACTTTTCTGCATGCGCGTTTCACCAACCGAGTTGACGTCTTTAGAAGATGGGGAAAACAGTTGGTGATGAAAGGAGCGTCGAGACGAGTATTGCATTTCTGGTGTTTGAGAAAAATGCTTGTTCTGGATGCTATTGGATATTAATTTTTTTCAATCTGCTCTAGCTTATACAGAGTGTTCCAACGAGAACTTGACCCCCTTCGGATAATGTTGACCGTTTTATTTAAGAAAGAACTGAAAATTCGCTTTCACTCAATTTATTGAGGAAATCAACGGAATTATTATCAATGGGAACAAAATCAACGGATAAAGTGTTCAAAATGACCTCCATCTAGTTCCATTCAATAATACAGTCCACATTCGAAAGCGTTCCTTATATTATAAATCAGCATTCTCGAACAATTCTCTGTCTCAGGTCTTTTGTTTAACGTATTGATGGCTCACGTTGTGGTCTGGATGATTCGTATTATAAATTCTTGTAGCAGCTTTAGCACACCATTGAAAAAAATAGGGGGAGTAGTTGCTGACTGCATGAGGGTGAAATTCCGGGTATGATTTCCATATCAGAATCAGTCACCCTAGAAATGAAAATTTTTGATTACACGTCCGTTTCTGACTTACAGGAGGGGTCGAGTTGGGTCGAGTTTTCGTTGGTACGCCCTGTATATTATTATATACTATTCCGACAATATGAAAATCATCGTATTGAATCTGAAAATTGAAAAAAAAAACAATCCGAAATTAGGAACGACAATAGAATATGTTATTATAGATAACCAAGAAAATATCTCACAATGGTTATATTGCTTTCTTTTCTTGTCGAATGAATCTTTGGAATTGGCAATAAAGACTTTCATGAATAATAATAATATTAGGAATCGACATCAAAAAACAACATTGAAATGAAAATAGATTTTCATAGATGTATTCATCAAAATTATCTCATACATCTGTTGATCAAAGAATGAAAGAATCCAAAATGAACATTCAAACACTGGAAAGCCTCATGCTTATTAGATGTATTAAGAGTCCAACTAAGAGAATCGTCTAAAACAATCCTAACCAATTCACAGAAATTACCTACCGTGATCTGACTATCATAGGAAACTATGAGATTTGGTGATTTTTCTTTGGTTGTTTGTAGATTACTGACAGAGGACATCTGCTTCAATCAAGGTTATCGACGAAACGTGAAATGTTGCTGCTAGATTCATTGAAATCGCAAACAAAACAACTCGGCGTTTCGTCATAATTTGAAAACGTAGGTTACTGAGGTAGATATAATTTGTCCTAGAACAGGATCCTGCGGTACTTCATGCTTCATGATCTGATTCACACCTGTTGTTGAGGTGAACAAGCTGCAGTGTACCATCTAGGTATGACTCGAACTTTTCCAATATGGAAGAAATGGAAGTTTTTCTAATGAAAATTCATGAGAAATACAGTCAAGAGCTTTGAAGAGATCACATGAAGTCAATGATGAATGACTGTGCCATGTTTTCCAAGATCCCAAAGAGAGCTTTCGCTGTACATTTTTTATGCGAAAACAGAATTGGGTTTTTATAATATTTCAAATTTTTTAGGATATCCTAAAAATGTGTCTTTCAGGAAAATTTCAACAATCTCTGGAATTCTTGATTTGGAAAATCTAGTTGTTGAAACTGCATTTTCTGTTTAGAGGTGAAATTTGAAAATACACCCTAGATATGACAGTTAAAAATCAAAACTGTAAATGATTTCACTGAACTGCTGACAGTTTCTTCCAAAATGTATCATTCAAACCATAAACATCCGTTGTCGTATATTTTTTTAGTTCATGTATGATTTGAAGTATACCTTATAGGAGGGCATTTTGTGAAAAAATCAAATAAAATCGACGGGAAGTCCCAATTTGAGGTAATCTGTACTATTATTTGAGATAAGTGGAATATTTCTGATCATTTTTTCAGCCACCGTAAACCGTAAGTAAAACTAATATTTTGAAAAACAAATTTTTTGTCAATTGCGAAATTAATAAGGTTCAAGAACGCTTCAAATTCTGTAAATGAAAATTAAATGCTTGTTTTTTGGATTGCACAATAGACGTTTTATTATCCTTTTACATATTTTTTGGAATTGACAGGTTCCTTGTATACAAATGGCAAAAAACTACATAAAATTTGTGATTAACTGATGAATGAACTGATGATCAAATAAACGATTTCTTGAATAATGAAAGTTGTTGAATGCATACATAATTCACGGATACAACCTGTGTTCCTTCTGTCGAACACTCACTATCTATGGGTATTGTTAGAGACGTGAAATTACTACGAAATGGCTACTTTCTCGCTATATTTAGTATGCGACAGAGCTGCAACGGATGCTGTCCAACATTTCAAGTGAAAAACGGCGTGCATTTCTGTGAACGATGCACACAAAAAATGTTTACGATATCAGTGTATTTATTAGAGAAACGGTGTGAACCGATGGATTAGAATTAAAGAGATAGGTTATCAATCGAACTAAGTCTCATGAAGTAGTCCAGACATATTTCATAATCTCAGTAATCTTCAATGCGCAAAAAATAAGGCAAATTTCATTTTTCTTAAAAAATATGTATTTTTCATCACCAATCTCATCAATGAATAAAATGATATTCAAATCTGATAATCACTTGAAATAGGATACCCACATCACATATGTATTCAACAAATTGAAAACGATTTCAGTCAGAAGACTTGAGAAACTCAAACAGCGTTAGTCAAATGAATCTGTATATTCTATGGAAGTGATAAGGAAGAATTTCTATTGATGACGCTACTCAAACAGCTAACCGCTGATCGGAATGGGTCATATTTATTGTTTTGAAGTGTTGTCTGTTTTGTAATATCAAATTGTGAATTTATGAGATTAATATTTTTTAGTCTGTTTATCATTGACTCAAGTCAGTGAGATAGGAATAATGAATTACTCTCACTCACAGAATGCACAAGAAACCACAACAATATGTGAAAACGGCTGATAGTAGATACTTTGTTTTTGTTCAGTAGTCTGACTTGGTCTCAACATCTCCGGTAGATGTCGTATTGGAACGATGAACTTCCCATTTCGACGAAGATTTCTGAAACTGATCTATTCAAAACATAATTTATGTATTTTTCGGATCGGCTCTACTCCGTATGAAAAATCTAGGACCTGAGACACCTGAGGTATTAGCCAGGTATAGTTGTTTTCCGATAGGTGTCAGTCCATTAACCTACAGTGTAGGTGAGTCGAAACTGACCTGAACAAATTTTTACTTCAGTTGATTTTATATTTGAGAAGGGCTTGAAGCAGTTCATTCAAGGCTTGCGATACATTCACTAATTTATCCAGAAATGTAATTGAGTTTTGTTTTGATGGTTCTACGCATTCGAAATGAATATTAATGATACATTTTTGGTATATCATGAGTTGTTTTTTTGTGCAGCTGTTCTTGTAAGCGCAAATTTTATTTACGATTTCTGCTCTCTTGTTACATTAGTGCTAACATTATTATCCTCATGCCTATTTGATAATTTTGAATATCAAATAATAATTCATTCATAGATTTCATTATCGAGTTCTCAATTTAGTATTTTGTAGTATTTCTATTCAGTTTTTTTATTTATTCATTTATTAACAACAAACTACATGCTCCATACAGGGAACTATTTATATAAGAAATATTCATACATAAATATATAACTTCAAAGGGAACCATTCCAGATTTTTTTTGTTATTCTGAGCCATTTCAGAATAACAAAAAAACAGACGAATTAAAATTGAAGGGGTTATATTTTCAGGAGTGATTAGTTTTTGGGAAAGAAAGTTTTTGGCTTTTCTTTCCCAAAAATTAATCACTCCTAAAAATATTACCCCTTCAATTCAAATAAGATTCCTCTTGGCTGGGATTCAATCAAATAGGTGAATGAATAGGTCATTACGATGTCATCGATGACATAAGTAGATCATACTTATTCCGTGATATAAAAAATCGTAATTCATGAATGAATTGTGTGTATTTTCTATAATGTTATCCAATTTGGTACTGAAGAGCCTTGGGGCGAATGTCTTACGGCGAAACATCGATCTCTACCAGTGAGGATGACAGTGTTCCATGTAAGTGCAATTTGTTACCATTCATTTAAAGTAGAACTCCTGTGAATGATATCTGATCGAATGTTTTTGGAATACAAACTGAGTGAAGAAAAGTATCTTCTGTATAATTCAGTGTTCATATAAAAGTATTTGTTTCGAGAGAATTTTTTTCTTTCGTGTAATTCAATGTTTATATGAAAGAAGCTGTTTCAGGAGGGCTTTTTTCCAGTTTGTGTCTCAAAGTTGCTCCTTTGCATGATATACACATCTATGTATAGAGTTACTCATTTTCATATTGATTACTTCCTTTCTTTGGAAGATTCCCACATTTTTTTGTATCAAGATGGAGTAGTAGAAAGCCAAAAACTTTCTTTCCCAAAAATTATGTATATTATTGAAGCAAATAGTTTTTTAATGCTATGTTGAATTTTTTTGTGTTGGAACGTTATTTGGTAATTCATTACATGTGATTATTCCTTTAAAAAATTAAGATTTTTTAGAAAATGCAGATTTGAGATTTTTCGTTAACAACATCGATGAAAATAAAAACAACAATAAAAATTAATTGGCGCTCCAGGACGACTTAATCGACTCCAGTGACGCATTTGCTTTTTCAGCTGCAGAAAAACCCGGAAAAACCTGCAGCACCACTTCATCTGAGAATCTTGATCTACCAATGTCCTTTCTCTCATAAAACAAAATGTAGGGTGTCTCCAGAAGCTCCAATAGATTATTGAGCTGTCTTTTTCGATGATCATGTGAATTTCTATGTTCTATAAGATTCATAGTGAAATGTCTTTATTTTTCATAACAGACTGCAAAAATGTGGATACTTTCAATAGATATCAAGTTAACGCTTTCGTTTATTTAGATTTTCAGTTGGTTCCCAAAAAAGTAGATGAAAAATGCATTCAGTAGAGTTATTCTGTAAGCCCCTTTATAGTTTCAAAATTGTATTTGAAGCAGTTCCCCATATACTAATCAAATACTGTAGTTTTGAATAAATAAAAAAAGTAAATTATCTTCAGATGTTTCAAAAAAATATAGTTTTCCAATTCATGTAGAATCCCAACGACTGAAGTGAGCTTTTTTTCGAATGACATCGATCTGGATATTTCACGACAGAGTTTCATTTATACGTAAACCTAAAAACTGAACACTAGCGGATCTCCCAATGTTGTTGTGTCCCAGCATCAATTGGGAAGTTGTCTTAAAGGGCTTCTCACCAATGAACATGACTGCCGATTTTTCAAAATTCAAAAGTAATTTGTGTATAATGAGCCAAATATCTATTTGTTTTATATCGATTTCCATCTGCTGACGTATTAATTGTGAATCTTCATTGCAATAGATCGAAGTTGTATCATTAGCAAATAGTACAAATTTTCCAGATAGTTGTGATTCCGAAATGGAATTTATTTAAATGAGAAAGAGTTTGTGGTTCTAATATAGATCTCTGCTCTACTACACGAAAGACACAAGTCAGTTCAATAATTTTGAAACCAAAATCATGCATTACCTCTAATATCAAATAATTTGTTCAACAAAATGTCATGAGTAACAATATCAAAAGCTTCACAATGGTCTTATGAAAGATCTTCACATTTTTCACGCACATCTAATTTCAACTGAATATTAGCGATGATATCCAGAGTAGTAGATTCTGTATTACTAGACCTTCGAACGCTATATATATTTGGATACAAGAAATGAATGAATTCCAAATCTTTCAATAATCTGTTATTTTGAGGAATTTTACCAGAATCAAGCTAAATATTGAAGAGTTTTTGAAGCACAGGTGACAATTATCGAATCCAGAGGCTTTCTTTGCACTCAAATCTTCAATTATTATTCTTCTATCTCATCATAAGTTACTGGCTTCAAATAAATAAATTTTGGACAACTCATTTTCGAAAATAGTATTAGATCACTCATCAAACCGAGCCTCTATCACTAAACATTTCAATGGGGATAATTAAAATTAAAATTGGGAATTGAATATGTGAATAGATTTATTATCATTGTACTATTCATTTATTGTTCCCTATAAACATTTTTTTCATGTGTATTTGGTAAAGTTTTCCTCGTGAGGGAAATTTCATGTCAACATTTTTTTCATATATCAACTTCGTAATAATTTACCAACGTTGAAAACATAAATTTCAAAGAGAATAGTTTCCATTGAAATTGTGATCAAAATTTGTGAATGAATTCGTTATAAATATACTATTCATTCATTGTATACTACAAGAACAACTTTTTTTCAGATACCAACCTTGTAAATGTTAGGATTGACTTTTGGATCAGTGAGGTCATCGAATTTGGTGTACAACTCGTTGAGCATTCTTATTATCTTCATGGCACCCTTCGAGTCTGCGTTGGCAGCGCAGTAGTTTGAGAATCCCACTATTCCGGAAAATAGTATCGTAGCTTGTTCGTATCTTCTGGCTGGTACTGGTCTCTGATGTCTGAGTTCATTGGCCACAGTTATGGGTAGTACAGAGTAGAGTAGCCTGGAATATACAGTGGAGAATGAATTACCTTCCGAAGAAAATCCTCAACAAACCTGAATATATACAAATGCATTTGGAAATTCTGTAAACCTAGTTTACACATATTAAGTAAAACATAGAGAAATTATCTCAAAACTAATGACAATCAGCAATATGAGCGACAAATGGAGATGAAAATTTTTTGAAATGATTACATTCAAAAAAATTGTAACTGATATTTATAATTCAAAGGGAGGCGACTGTATGAGATAATTTTGCTGTTATGAAATCTGGACAATCTAACAACTGAAGTCGACGCGCAACAGCTAGTACTTCGATATTCAAATTCAAAATTGACATTATAACAGCCTTTTCAATGACTTCATTGTCGTCTCCGCTATAGTGGAAAGCAGGAACTCATTACCAATAACAACAAAACTGCTCCAGGCTTCATTTATCAAATGGAACTCGTGACAGTGAAATACTGACTTGAAACAATATAATCATCAACGTCAGAACAATAGTGCCACTCGAATTTGGAGGCCATTTGAAAACAAATTGGTCTACTCCTACAACTGTGAAGCACTTAGGCCACATGTGACCAATTGTACATCCTCCTGAGGAGTTGTCCTCCTAGGTCATCGTCCATCCTGTCCTTTCCAGGAAGGTGGACAGGTCACTGGGAGACATCTTCTTTATATCAGCAGGTGTAAGCAAAGACTCGCCGAACACACACTCTCTTATTGACGATAACTCTGGACACTCGCATAGGACATGCCTGACAGTTTCATCTTTCTGTTCATGCATACTGCATAGAGGTGTGTCCACTAGTCACATATTATGGAGGTGTTTCCTCAGTTGACAGTGGCCAGTAAGAAATCCTACTATTAGGCGTAGATTTTTTCTGGTCATCGCCAGATACTTCTTCAACGCCAGCTTCCCAGGGTCGCCCAGGGTGATCCTGGCAAGATTACATCTTTTGATTCCATCCCCTTTGGAGTGGTACTGAATATTACTGGAGTTTTTTCCCAACACCAAACCGTTATTTTAACACCTAGTGACGTGTTTAGATCACCAAGTGATCATCTTCAAGAGAAAGATCAAACTAAATATACTAATGAATAGACATTGTGTCTAGAAGAGGTATCTATGGTATAAATAAGGATAACATTGTAAATATATTTAGTTTGATCTTTCCTTGAAGATGATCACTTGGTGATCGAAACACGTGTCGAGGTGTGAAATAACGGTTTGATGTTGGGACAAACTCCAGTAATATTCTTCACTCGTACACAGTTTCATGGTCCATGGTTCTCAGTAATTTCTCTAAATCATGAATTTCAACCATTGATCACACATTCAAAAATGTCGAAAATATTGAGTATATTACGTTTGTCAAAATATCAGACAATATCATTATCATACAACACTTCAATTTTAGATTTGTGAATTTTGACAACTAGTTTAGGATCCATCGATATTTGGGGCAATCCACAAGTAGTGGTTTTGGATCAATAATAGTCGGTAAGTTTGATACGTTATGATTGTTCCGGTATCTCAGATCAGGTATTCATGATTCAGGTAACAATTTTGTCATTTCAGATATCTAAAGGACATTGACCATATCATTGTATATTTAAGGATTTGTTTGTCATTCTTCATCAGTTTATCTGAGAATGGGTTAATAAATCGAAACCAGTGTTAAGAAATAGGAATTCCAGTAGAAATTGAACAAATGTTATTTTCCTATCCTATATTTATTATGAATTTCTTCAAAATAAACAGGTAATCAATTGAACGAGTTAATCTAGTTTACAAAGACGTAGAAACGTTATTATCGAGCATATTACTTCTGAAATTTTTGGAGGCTTTGGATATTGTTTTCTATATTGGAGACGTTGATATGTTGATCAACACTTCTCTGATAAAGGGTACTTTCATTTGTTTCATTTTGTGAAAAATATCGAACAGAAGAAATATTAAACTTTTTTAATTTTATTCAGTGTTTTTTGGCATTTACAATTCGAACTTCTCCCTCTCAGCTTATTTGTAATCTTTTTATCAATATATCAGTTTTAATCTTCATTCTGTTCTTAAGTTCTAGTCTTGACGATTTTTTTCATTTCCAATTCATCTTTCGCAGCGGATTCTAATTGTGTTTGTGTGAATGTATTTCATTGGTATCCATTGCTTCTTTAAGACGGTACTAGACTTTTTAGAGGTCCTTAAGTTCTGGTTATTAATAATAATAATAATAAGGTTTATTCACAGTAAACAACATATAAATACATTTAAAAAAAGTTCATTTGACAATACAGTAACTCAATAAATTAGGATAAGTGGTGAATAAACACGGAAAAAACACAGAAGTAGCTGCAAAAGCTACTTGAATATGTTGATTATTATTGATTATTTCATACAAAATTTCAGAATATTCAGTTTTTTTTTTCAATACAACAAAATTCCCCACGCTTTCATTTGAGTTGAACCTATCAACCAGATGATCATCCAAGAATCATAAGATATTTCTGAATCACAACAATGTGGAACAAGTGATGCGTTGAATATCGATTTCAATTTTTCATTTTGTGGAATAATGACTCCTACATTTTTTTCTGCAGGACTATTTCATGGTGTGCTGACTCTTCTTCCTCGACGATAATCAAAAATAGTTCCATTTGTCAATTAATGTTTTTTTCAATTTCGTTTCGAATTTCATCAAGCTATTAAACATTTATCGATATCCATAAATTTTACCATTATATCAAAACTAGGATACATTAACATCAAATCCACTATCTAATCGAGTCGCGAACAACAATATTTTCCAATCATTGCGCGTAATTGATATTTTCAACAATATTACATGAATCGTTAGCTAGTTCAGCCAAGCGATAAACTAAAATACTCTCTTTCATTCGACATTCATGAGTGCATTTGCTTGTTTGTGTACATTTATTTCTGGAATTGCACATCGTGAATTCCATATGGTGAATGCCTCTAAAAATGGAGTAACTTTGTGCCATTTATTTTCGCAACTGACGTCATTGAACTCATTTTGGGGAAAACTTAGTATTTATTCATAGCCTTCCATACATTATTCTCCGTTTTCTGGTTTCGCCGATGACAAGAAATGAATTTATAGACGCTTTACTTCCACGACAACTCTCCAACAATTTCGTAAAGAATTTTAATAGTGATTTATGGCAGATTTACTTGTAGAAGTTCAGGTGAGTTGTTCAGAACCCGAATAATGTAGATATATGAGAATGTTTTCAACACATTTGTTATTGTTATTGGGGAGAATTTGGAACTTGGCAAGTGAACTCGGATGTAACCCACTGATCAATAAATATTTATGAAAGTGAAATACAGGGTGTTTAGTTATCATGCGGCAAGGGACTATTCCTGGGATAGGATTCCTTAGGATATTCTGTCCTTCGATGATTTCTGATAGGCCACTTTGTTTCGAAGATACGGTGCCAAAAATTTCGACAATAACAAGATTGGTAATTTAAAAATCATAAACGTAGCAGGAATAAAAGTATAGCGTGCTACACTGGACCTACCAAGTAATAAAAAATCTAACAATTCCGTTGGTACCTATCAACAACATTCCGATTACTACAAACGGCTGCAGACATTCAATTTGAATAGTATGTCTAGTGAGTGATCATTTATTTGTATATGTCGAATAGTTTGGAACCGATTGACTATGTCTATTTAAAGTGTATTTTCTGTGTTCGATTTTGGAAGTCTTGTTGGTGTAGTCCTCTATCATGAATGGCTATAGTAACGCAGAGATGGCTGACATGCATTTCATTTCTGGACTTGCTGATGGCAATTCATCAGAAGCTAGGCGGCTGTATCTGTCTGTATCTGTAGAGTAGGGAGGGTGAGTGTAAGCCCACGCACTCAGGCCACATGTGACCCATTGTACATCCTCCCAAGGAGTTGTCCTCCTAGGTCGTCGTCCATCCTGTCCTTTCCAGGAAGGTGGACAGGTCGCTGGGAGACATCTCCTTTATATCGGCAGGTGTAGGCCAAGACTCGCCGAACACACACTCTCTTATTGACGATAACTCCGGGCACTCGCACAGGACATGCCTGACAGTCTCATCTTCCTGTTCACACATCCTGCACAGAGGTGTGTCCACTAGCCCCATTTTATGTAGGTGTTTCCTTAGCTGACAGTGGCCAGTCAGAAATCCTACTGTAAGGCGTAGATTTTTCCTGGTCATCGCCAGATATTTCTTCGGCGCCAGCTTCCCAGGGTCGCCCAAGGTGATCCTGGCAAGATTACATCCTTTGATTTCATCCCATCTCTTTAAAGATTGAGCATGGGTGTAACATTTGACTAGTTCCGCAATTGTCGAAGTCATCAGGCCGTGGGTGCCACTTGGTCCTAAAATTCTTAGTCCAGCCGCTTCCTTGGCTAAAGAGTCGGCAATGCGATTACCTTTACTCCTTTCGTGCCCTTTAATCCACCTCAGGAGAATGTTATTATCTACCGAGGCTTTTAGGCGGTTGTATAGTGAACGATTTCTTGATCGTAATGTGCCTAATAAAAGAACCTTTCAAAGTATACATCAACGACTTCGTGAAACAGGAGCATTGAAGCGAAATGGAGGTCCAGGAAGGCCAATGACAGTAAGAACGGTAAAAGTGAAAGAAAATGTGCTGGCTATAATAGAAGAAGATCCAGGTTCCTCTACTCGAAAAATTTGGAACATTCTTAGAGACTATTCGTTGTATTCTCACCACATAAAACGAGTTCAGGCACTTCTTTCTGCAGATTTTCTTCCACGTATTGTCAATAGCTTTTCCACATATTGATTCAAATCCATCAACTACTGACGCTCATTCTTTTCACCGATGGAGCCAGTTTCTCAATAAATGCCCTGAGGAATTTCCACAATAACCATGTTCGAGCTGAAGAAAATTCACATGTGGGGATTGAAGATCGCTTTCAACATCAGTTCTCGTTCAAAAGTTTGGGTGGAAATTGTAGGTAACTTCGTAATTGGACCGGTATTTCTGCCAGGAAGACTTACCGGCGAGGTATACCGCAACTTTTTGAAACAAACACCACCTCAGTTTCTGGAGGATGTACCATTGGTTACAAGAAATGCAATGTGGTTTGTGCCCGATGGTGCACCAGCGCATTTTAGCATATTGGCTCGAGAGTTTTTAACAGTAACATACAGAGATCGCTGGATTGGTCAAGGTGGACCTCACTTACGACCTGCTCGATCACCCGACTCAAACCCCTTGGATTATTTCCTATTGGGCCACCCGAAGTCATCAGTTTATACTACTCCAGTGGAAGATGTGGTAGATTTGAGAAATCGGATAATTGCTGGGTGTAACGCAATCTGAAACGATCCTGGTGGTTTTGAAAGAGTTCGGTCGATGAGGGAAGATTGGATTCTTGCATCCAACAGTTTTTGTAGATTAAGAAATAACACATGTAATTTTTGGTAATACATTGTTATTTTCGAAATTCTTTTTTAATCTATATCTTCGAAACATAGCGCTCTATCAAAAATCATTAGACATTAGGACAAAATATCTTTAGAATAGTCCAAGGAATATTCCTTTGAATTTTTTCCGCATGTTCAATAAACATCCTGTATAAAGAAATAGTTCTGGTGAGTACGGCCAAAAAAATCAGGTCACTGTTGATACTGATTCATTCTGATGACCGTGAATATAATAAGGTTTTTACCCATGTTCAAAGGAACTGCATGCATATTATATCTATTCGAGATCAACGGTATCAGTAATTGATTTCTCACGAAAATAACTATTATAGAAGATGAATCAACTTCCCTTTGACGTTCTACAGTGAAAAATTTTTTTGTTGTTGAGTGCCTCAAATGCATGAAAACTGAATTTTTTTTTGTTATAGTGTTGATACTCAACTGTTTATTGATTTAGATACGAAAGATGTTCAATATGCCAAAAATAGCATGGATAGGTAATTATATGATATCTTTGTTTGATATTTGTTAAAAACACCGTTTGAGAACAAAAATATCACCTGTCAAGGCAAGTTTCGCTAATCAATTGAGCATCTTCAGGAGATTTCCTACTGAGATTTCTACGTTTCATCTCCAACCCAACTTTTGATATTCCAGACCGAAAAATAATAATAATGAAATTGATAATGGTCTTCATTGGGTGAAGACCTCTTGGTTGTAATACCAATAGGCGAGGTTCAAAACTGCAGTGTAGAACACTACAGGTTTGTTATACCACTCAAACTCCACAGCCAGCAACGAGAACTGGCAACAAAAATATAACAAATACAAAAAAAATAAAGAAATAAATACATTGTAAACCTGATATCGATCAGCATTCGAATAACAACAAAAAAGAAATATAATATACATGTGGATAAATGATTGAGTAGTCAAGTTTGTTTACCTTTTTTTTTTCAACTTTTAATTCCTTAAAATTAGAGTACAGAGTATCGTATGTTAACATATCGCTCTTTAGAATAAATTTTGAAATCGACCGCAGTAGCCTAAGCAAAATTGAGTCTCCTTGAGGCACCCCTATTTTCACTATTGACTCCGTACTTACGTCATTCCCAATTTTTACGCTCTGGACTCTATTTGTTAAGTAATTGGACATAAGAATTTGTGGTAGACCACGAATACCGTAGTGACTCAATTTGTTTAGTAGAATTTTGTGTGATACTGTGTCAAAAGCCTTAGCAAGGTCTGGAAAAACTGCTATGTATTTCGATGATTTGTCCAGGGCCTCGACTGTTTGCTCTAGAAAATCAATTACTGCGTTTTCAGTGTTTGAATTTTGGATGAAACCATACTGCCTGTCAGTAATGACGTTATGTCTGCGAAAAACTTCCGTCAATATTTTTTTAACTACTTGTTAGAAGATTTTTGCTAGATTGTTGATGACGGATTTCGGCCTGTAGTTTTTTATTTGACAACGGTTACCTGTCTTAAAAATTGGAGTGATGAGTGATTCTTTTCATTGTTTTGGATTGTTTCCACTTGTAAGACATGAATTAATTATATGAATTAATGGGTGTGTTATGTATTCATGTATAGTGTCATTATTTTTCGAGTTTGAAAGCCGTGGATTTTTGGAATTTTTTCCTGACGTTTCGCTGGCGCGAGTGGCTAGCTTCTTCAGAGGTGTAACCATTATGCTTGCTGTCCGATGACTAAAAGTTAGTCATCCATATTGATATTCTGTTTCTTCTACGTACCCCAAGAATAAGGCGAGAGCAGGAGTTTAGAATCTTTTGGAGTCTTTTCTTATTCCTAATTGTGGGGATTGGTCCATAGAGTACCTACATCTGCATAGTTCAAAGATGAAAGAACGAGACTGTCATTTAGAGTAATTCTTGTGTTTCTAGGAAGAAATTTTCGATTTCCTTAAATCAACGTGAGTGAGAGGGAAGCTTTCTGGATCAGTTTATTCACATAGGAATCAAATCGGAGATCACTATCTATAGTCACCCCAAGATTTTTTGCTTCCTTCACAATTTTCAATCCATCAGAGTCTATACTGATAATGAGTTGTTGTTTTAAACATATTTCAAATCTGTTATGGTTGTGATACACGAGTGTATATTGATATATGTATGAAAGAAATCAATATGCCGAAAATTTCACATACAGTGATTTGAGATCAAAAACATCATTTTTATTTGAATCCCAATACGCCACAGCTACTATAAGTGAATGATGCAAAATTATCAGTCGTAGATTTCATAATAAAATTGAGTTCATTATGATTCTAATTTGAAATGCCATTCAAATTGGAACCGGAGTATCTATAAATCTTTTGATATGCTGATAGATCTCTACCCACAGAAAATATTATTTGCCATTCACTCATATCAATGCAATTTCTATTAGCAAACTCCTCAACACTTTTATGGTTCAACTAATATAACTCGGTACTCGTATATGGACCTTATGGACCTTTCATGAATGAAATCGATAAAAATCGGATTGAAAATCAAATTCATGTTATAAATATATCACTCATCTGTAGAAAGTTATCATTAGTCAGTTTAGTTTCAGTTATTTTTTGAAAAGATCACAAACTTATTCGTAACTTTGTGATAAGCAGCAAGTAATTTCTTCACAAATGTACTTTTTTGAGATATAGTACGTAATCAATTCGCTTTTCAAAAGTCTTTCAGAAATGTATTCATTCATAATATAATATATTCGAAATAATTTCACTATTGTTCAATTCAATTTTGTACTAACTACATTTTTGTTTCTGTGCATAATATTATTCTTCTTCTGGTTCACTACAAATTTTGAAACTTTTTAACAGCTTCCTCCACATTTGTTTCATTTTCATTAACTATCAGAAGTAAGAATCAAATAATGGAAAAAATGGTCTACATAATTCTCAGTATTTTTAAGATGTGATGTGGCTTATGGTGAATCAAAAATTTCCTTCTATTTTTTATCGTAATAGTAGCCATGTGTTCTAAAAGTAACTTTTGCATTCACCTATCTGTCTTCTTCTTCTCAGTATCTAACTCTCTGTAGGTTTGTTGCAGCTTGTCAGTCAATATTTCTAAGTTTCTGGTTAATTTGTAATCAGCTTCGAACTGCTCTGACATAAGCACTAGATCCCTCGTAGCGTCATGAAGCGGAATGTCACTGATGTATAAACCTCTCCTGAAAATAAAATAGTTTTTCGGTACTTTGACTACTGTATCACTGAGTAATCATTATTCAATGATGAGAAATACCCTACTAACTATTGATATTTAAGTAACAATCTCAACAATGTAGTAGAACTATTGATATGTTTTGAATCATTCGAAATTTTAACACTTTATTATTTTGCCACTGATTTTATCAGAAAATTTTTATGGAAGCACAATTGCTAAAAACTTTCATTGGCTAACGAAAAATACTCTCCTCATACTAACCTGGTAAGGTCATCCAAATTCATTACACTGGGATAACAGAGAAATACAATTAGGTCAGTCTCAGGAACATACAGCATTTGTCCCTTCAGACGCAGAAATCGATATTCTGCAGGAGCATTCACTTGCATAACTCCTGCACGAGTTTTGAGTACATAAATAGTGTTTATGTGAGACAGAATATTCTCAAAAGTGAGGTCCAAGTGAGGTCTCACCTGAAACAAACTTAGTCAAATGATTGAGATCATGCAGAATAACAGATGGATAATTAGAAACTACTTCAACTGTTATCCTAACTTGTGAATTAGAAAAACAAATGTAATGAAATAAAATAATTTTTCAACTTCAACTATCAATTAGGAGTGCAGAGTGAGCAGTTATAATTCGAAGTCTCAGAAAGGACTGACCGTCGAGCTACCTGTTCCCTGGTATTAATAATTTCAGAGGGTGGTGGGGGTAATGGCGAGAATAGAGCAGAGGATGATGACAAAGATGGAGGTGGAACCATCAGTGGGGACGGTGGTATGTAGCGATGGTGGACTGTCTATGCAAATGTTTATTCCTGATTGGTTTTCAAGTTTGCTGGGTCGTTCTGATTGGTCCGCACCCATACTAGGTTTTTCTGTTTGTTCTACGTTGTTTACAGGTATTTTACTGGTGAAATGTCGATCGGAGTTGTATTCTAGTCCATTTCTGGCGGGAAGTGCAGTGTTTGTTTTGAATTTATAAAAATCAAATTCCACCTACGGATTTCATAAAAGAATTAAATTCATTTGTCTCACCGTATCAAGAATATCAGTTATTTTGCAGTTGGCTGCATTCACTTTTGGTATCACACGAGCTACGGAAAATCCTGTTTGAACAATTTTCAAGTTTCTGTCGAACATGATGTGAAAAGGAAACACTCTGCAGAAAGTTGCTGGACTCACTTTCGGCTCTGAAAAAATGAACAAATTGTCTAGCTGTCATAAGAATCAAGAAAATAAAACTTAGATAATCAAAGTACACATCTGGGTTTTGAGAGGAAGAAATAATTGTCAAGAAAACAAAGCTATTATTTTACTATAATAAGGAATAGTAAAAGCGCATGAAATCGAATGATTATTTATCAATATTAATTACTTCCTAGTCTCACGATATGAACAACCTGGCTGAGAGAAATGTTCCTTTCTTCGTGAGAGTTAGATTTTATAGCGATAGAAATATGTAATAGATATTACAGAAATTATAGGTTGATAACTTTATGATGTTAACAATGCCTGCGGCCTTCAGAGTTAGTAATTGAGCAAAAGCAAATTTTTTATAATTAATTCCCTAGCTCATAGTGTGTTGTTTCGAAACGAAGCGTCTCAATATTTTAGTGAAATTGCAATAAAAACTATTTTTTCCATGAGTAGTAAAAGTTCATACTCACCGAGTGACAAAGTTTCAATTTCGTCTATTTCGGGAAGTTGGGACTTTCCAGGTCCGGACTTTTCTGTGATGAGAAATTGGACGTGATCACACTCTTCCTTAGATTTCAGTAATTCTACTTCAACCTCTGTGTTGTGGAGTTTGCTAGCGACCGTCTGAAAAACCAAGAATGAAATTCTATAACTGGAAAATGCAGGTAAATTGCGCTGATCAGAAGAAACGATTTCAACTATATACTTTTCATATAGTGCATTCCATTCAAACTGAGCCACCCCAAATCAGCCAAAATCAACTTGTTGTAAGCCATCTCGGCGGGTTGGCTGTTCTTATTCATCTTTCACTGTCTGAACCACTGGGCATGCTGTTTTTGGCGAGTGCGTTGGCTTGGGATGTGGAGGTTGAGCAAATCGGTCATCGGATGCCTGCTTCCACGTAGCCCCGCTGGATATGTGGTTCTGTTATTCCCTAACTGAATGGCATCCCAACGATGGCTTAATCCTAAGGTGTGTGTATCCGTGCCGAAAGGATGAATGACACTGAGCCTATTAGCTGCCTCTACGGAAACTTCGAGATACCGGGCACCCACTCGTCGTAGCATGGCCTTGTCAAGGTAATGCGGGGCTCTGCCGTGATTGACCTTCTTCCTCTAGCTACTCGTGGGACATTATTGGACAGAGTGAATGTCGAGCTTACGGCTCCATCTGACCTCCCTGTAAATTTAGATCAGTTGCGAGAGCTTCTCAACTCCTGATCCAATAACTGAACCTAAAAAAAAAGGTTTGTTGATGCAGCCAGGAAACGACTGACTCGTCTCATCAAGAGCGGGGTACCTTATGAAACCACCTTCCACCAAATTCTTGAGCGGCGTACGCAGAATCTGTCTCAGGTGGAGAAACAAACCCCCCAAAAGCAGGTTAGCAAACGTTTGCGCTCAAGTGATGATTCACCAAAACCAGAGGCGAAAAAACCCTGCAACGGTTGATTCTAAGGCATCGTCAGGTGTAGCTGACGTGCAAAAACCCTCATATGGGAAGGTTGTCGCGGGTATCAAGGTGGGAATCTTGCACCTTGACTATCCGACTATCTCATTAACGATGAAACAGCAGAGCATATACTTTGACCACTCACCATACGAACTAATCGGCTTCAATAAGAAGCTGGGTTTATTTGGTCGAGTGTGAATAGGTGTGAGCCACAATTAACCCTTGCGGGTTGCGGTGGACCTAACCAAACCTAACCTAAGTCATCCTCTCTTCCTAACGACTCACCTGTTGGAAATTCAAAATAATAGTCGAGTGACATCTTAGTTGAAAGGTCTTTCAATTTTATATCCAAATCTGTGATATTTTTGACATTATAATGATGAGCAACCCCAAATAAAACAGAATTGCGTCTTTATTCCAAACTGATCAGTTCAACTAAGCACTATCAACTTACATAAAATGATATGTCCTGTTTCCAGATGTTAGTAGGCTATGGTACTCATTGAATCATTTCCGTAATCTACAATAGTTGACTATGTCTCGTAGACTTTTGATTCCAACCATCCCGTACAAAAATTCTCGGTAGAGTTAAATCAGGGGATCTAGATGGCCATTCTGTAGAACATCTTCCAATCCATAGATCCAGAAATTAATTATTGAGGAACTGTCACACTGATTATACGCAATGAGAACGAGTCCAACCTTGTTGAGAAACTAACTTATTTCGTAATTAAAGATGTCACTGAATGGCGTTGTTGATACTTGGCATAACTTCATTATCTCGCTGAATTTTCCTGAACTGAATTTTCCTTCACTTTTTGAGGGAGCTTGAGAAACTAGTGGCCATATAATATAAATAAACAGAATATTCCCGTGGAGACAAATCCCCACCCTTTAGGGGATTAGAGGCGGAGCTCCATAAGTGGTCTTAGCTTTTTGAGGCATCAAAAGTTACTGCAGTGTGTACAGTGTTCCAAGCTTTTGAGAAGCTTGGAACATTCTTAAGAACATCAGACGATTTTAGAGATGAACTGAACCAGGCAGAAAGATGAAAAATGAACTGAAATAAATACGAACAATATGAATGACAAAATTGAGGAACTATTTGAAATAGAACACTAAATTATTGGGAATTCATGCATGAATAAAACTTAATTTTGAGGACCATGTCATGTTAGTGCTATTAAAATCGTGTCAGATGAGTTGGGTGTACTTTTTGCGATAAACACAAACCACTCTTCAAGAGATAATACTATTGGATGTACTCTAGCCATCAAGAACTACGGTTGTGAACTGTTTGTTCTACAAAAAACACATATGTATGAAGTTCGAGCAAGAGGCAATATAAAGTATATTTTTTATCAAATCAACTGTTTTCAATATAAAGAGACCTGTTGGATCTTCAGGTCAAAGGAATGTAGGGATTCCTTTGACTTGAAGAAACTGCAGGTCTCTTCATATTGAAAACAGTTGATTTAATAAAAAATATCCATTATATTGGTTTTGTCAAATTTGAAGCTACAACCCACACAGTTCAGAATTATTACAGACCTCTTTTCTATTCGGGAGGGTTGTGAAGGATATTCTCATTCCAAAGACGTACTAGGCATAAAAGCAAATACAACTGAAGAGACCTATTGGATATTTTGTCCAATATTTGTACAAAATTCTTTGCCTCATTCATATTGTGAAATCGCATTAGTTTCTAGTTTTAATCTTCCTCTTTGAAGATGATCACTTGGTGATCGAAACACGTGTCGAGGTGTTGAAAATAACGATTTGGTGTTGGGAAAAAACTCCAGTAATATTGTGAAATCATGGCGATCAATGGCACATTTTACAGCAAAACATTTGTTGCAATTTTCATACTTTTTAGATATTTGCATTTTCATCTTTATTTTCACCATTTTTAAATTTCTTGCATTTTCATTTTTACATATTACCAATTTACATTCTTACATTATTATATTACTACATGAATTGTCAAATCCATTTTAATCTCACTGTTCTGATTTATAATGTGAATACTGTGAATAAAACAGTAATACCCACGCACAGGGTGTTCTTTGTGGGTTTCCTGAATTTGTTCAGATTTTTCACATTGATATTGACTGATCTTGAGGCCAAAGTAATGTAGAGATTCTTTTGACCTGAAGAAACAACAGGTCTATTCATATTGAAAACAGTTGGTTTAATAAAAAATATCCTTCCTATTGAATCTGTCAAATTTGAAGCTACAACCCACACAGTTCAGAATTATTACAAACCTTATACTTTTCAGGAGGGTTGTGAAGGATATTCTCATTCCAAAGGAATACTAGGATTCGCAAGAAAATTCAACTATATAGTTACCTGTATATGTTATTATATTTGAATTGATATATTAATATTTGTATGACATTTATATGTATATTGAATACAGATGTTACACATCCTAATTTTAGCATGAAAAACAGTTAATTACATACTTCTAATCAGAGATAGCATCGCTTTGTCAATGGGAGTAGAGCCTTATTGATAATGAAGCGCAGTTTATATTAAGAGAATGAAAAAGTTTCATCATATTGTTATTGTCACATTAACCTGTTTGAACATAAAATATGGAACAAAACAATGGAATCAGTTAAATAATTTTGAAAATCCATAAATGAATGTCCTGGGAAATGGATAATTGAATTTTGTGTGTTTTAGCGTAGTACGATCGGCAGCTGACGTCATCCAACCCAAACGGCATCTTAGCTATAAAAAATTTGGAAGAGTATTTTCACAACACGAGCAAAGCAAGTAACTGCAAAGAAGCAGGTACGAAGACCACTTACAGAATATGAACATCGTCGTTTGGGTCAGATGACGTCACACGTCAGACGAAATTATTATTGAAGACGCAACTTCAACTGCCTTCATTATTTGTAAATATGTTTTGATAATTCGTTCACAGTTATATTCTTTTTCACCAAAATTTTCATAAATAATTTATATTGAAGAACTGAAAACTTACCATTATCAAACAATCAAAACTTTCCAAAAATTAGTTCAAATGTTGTCATTTACAGAACGGAGTATTTTGTGAACCTACCTTAGTAAAAGTCACAAAATAATTTTATATTCAAACTTCTCACCTTCACAATTCCAATAACAATATGCTCGAGTCCGGGCCTGTCCGAATAATAATGCAACACCAGAGCGCCATCTTCCGGTCTCTCGGTGCACCGGAAGGAAGGAGCCTTCATTCCGGGATACAGCGTTCCTAAGTGGTCGTGAAGAGCATCGAGATTCTGTGGTTGAACGAGAAAACAAGGTAGTATTATTAACGGAACTGCTAACTGCCAGCGTTAGGCAACTGGAAAATGGAGGTTTTATCTGATTCGCGCTTTGTTTGTTGCCTAACGACTAGGATAGTGAGGACATTAAAGGATTCGCAGGGTCTATCGGTTCATCTGGGATGATATCTTTGCAGGATTATCGGGGTTAATTGAGCCATTCACGGAGACTATTGCCCTGGGTAGTCCAGCAAATATTTGTGGTGCTAATAATCAAAGAAACTGATTGAAGGGATGTTGAGAAAGACAAACATATTATTGCAAAAATCAATGTGTTCATTGATTGAAAGATAATCAATTACGAGGATTCTTGACTTTTCTGGGTTTTCGACACTCCAAAATCTGATAAATGAATGAATTAGAAACTGAAAAGATATACCGAAAAAATTCTGCTTAGTATAAACTTCAGAAGAACATGTTTTATTGATCCAAATTGTCATTCGTAATTTGTCAGATTCATGGATTTCATCTATCAAACTTGTTTTTTTTTATAAATGTTTGAAGTTTTGGAAAGCGCTTAAATGTTTGAGTCGAGCTAAAATCAAGATTGGTGCCCTTTTTATGCTTATTTAGACTATGGAACAATTTTCGATATATTAAAATATTAATTTCTGTTTTCGGAAAATTGTAACGTTTGTCCAATGTAGACTTTTTGACAGTTCTGATTGCATATAGTATGCGAGTGTTTTTATTTTTGGGTGCCTTTATTCTTCAATGTGAGGAAGTGGTATTTTCAAGAATAATATGTCCTTTATGTCCTACTTTTATGATATGAGTTTTTATCGTTTTTGTGATGTTTTCTGGCTTGCAAATCAAATTTTGGTTTTGAAATTTGATTCCAATAAGAAACAATTTGTTCTGCAAAGATTCTGTTGATTACGATAGTTATTTTGAATTACCGCTTTCTCAGCTTGTTTTATTCCTAGTTGTTCTGGACGGATGATGAAATTATTATTGTTGCAAAGTCTATGAAAACCGTTGTTTTGGGATAGAGAGTAGAGTGATTTGAAACTGAGATATCTACCGGAAATAGTATATTATATACCTAGGGTGAGAAGTGAGCTATTATTTATAGAGCATTTTTATATCCTGAGGGGCTACGCGCCTCAATTCTGCATTATAGTGAGAAAAACATTTCCTTGGTTATATCATAACCCAAGGCAGCTATGAATTGTTGCATGTCAAATTGAAACGGTACAGTTTCCATGTTGAATACGCGATGTCGATGATAAGCGTGCAACATCTACTTAGGCCATGAAAACGTTTGCCGGCGTTTCCATGACAACCAAACACTGTACAATGATTATTATTGCTGTCAGTTTGCCAAATGCTGTTTTAATTCAAATTTAGATGTCATTTTGAGGAAGTTTAAAGATCTATATAAGTAAAACGTCGATATAATTAATTGAAAAATGGGTGAAAATTCAAGTGACGATGATTTAGAAATGATGTGTACCCCGCTTGATTTGTCACAATTGTACTTACAATTAATTATAATTTCAAATAATTTTCAAGCGTATTTCCAATGATCAATTTCCTTCTTATAGTTGATAATTAAGTTAAAAAAAGTTTCTGTGAATATCTTTAAAATTATAGAATTGTTTTCGTTATTTACCTAGGTATTTTTTCATTATCATTATCTACCAAGGGTGAGAAATATCAATTCTCGTTAAGGGAATAGAGTAAATAATAGCAATTTCTCAGGTTAGTAGTGAAAAAGTATCTTTTGTATACCACTGGATTTTAATGATCCCATTTATTCGGTGTGGAGTTGAATCCGAAAAGTTGATTTTATAATCTTTCTCTAGTTCAACATGAAATTCAGTTTTGGATGATGAAAATGGACTTTGCTTTTTGTATATTCAACTCTAATGCAATTTATGCTATGACGTCATCGAAAATGAAAGCGACACCATTAAGTCAGGAAGTTGTGACGTTCTATGGTAGTTCTATCCTCTTTAGAAAATTTGACAGAAGCAAAAAATAAGGGCACTCAGAAACTCTATTCCACATAAAAGTTGGTACTCCAGAAGAAAGAGTTCTCAAACTGTGAAGTTCGAGGTGTACTGAGTTGAACCTCAAAACGATGGGCAGCCACAGTCCGTCGCGTATTTCTGATATGTACCGCTCTTGGTAGAATAAAATGTGCCAAGTCATTTAACTTCCCGTGAAAGTACTATAGAAGACCATTCTTCAATGTTCCAGACTATTAAGGTTGCAAGTGATGTTCGCTTCTTCCATCAGGCAGATAGCTCTTTTCTGGATTGAATCCAGCAGCTTCAGGGTATGCTTAGGGGCGAAGCTTCATACATGAGAACGATACTCCAAAGAAGGTCTGATCTGAGCTTTATAAAGCATCAAAAGTTGATGAGGTGTGTACAATTTCCTGGTCCGCAACAGTGCTCTAAGCTTTTAAGAAGCAGCCTTCGCAATTCCAGTGACATGATTCTGCCAAGTCAAAATGGGTTTCATTTTAACCCCCAACAAACTTATCGAAGCAATTTCATATGAAATAACAATATATGGAAATGAGACGTATGTCGATTTAGATGAAAAATGTTCAGAAGATGACTATTATATAACTCACTAACCGTTAGAAAATCTCTAGGCGTAGCTCCTAATACTTGCAGTATCTTGTCGTAACCGGAATCCTGGCAAAATTCAAAGAAAGTCTTCCCGAACAATTCCAAAATAGTATTCGCTGGAATATCTAAAAAATATGAATAGATCATATGAGAAATACAGACATTGATTCATTCGATAGTATCATAAATATTGAATGCTGACTACGTATGATTTTATAAAAAGTCTAATAAAAGTAGGTATCCCAAATTATTCTTGCATGTCTAACAAGGAAACTTACTTAGAACTTCTACAGCAGCAGATATCAAGTTGTATGTCAATTCATCTTCATAAATTTGACGTACAAGAAACTGTCCTTCCATTTGCACGTCGGCATTTTTCCTGAAAATAAGTTACTTGAAGTATAAAAGTTCAGAAATATAAAGTGCATTCTATTAGTGAAATGACTTCTGACAGTTGTCATATTGCTCAACTGAATAACTCACAATCCTCATGAATAAACATTTTATTGTTTCTGCAACTTTTGTTTCTATTGCTACTGAATCTATCCATGGGGGAAATTCGAAGCCGCTATATCTTTTAAGGTTATGCTTGAAATGCAAAATGATCTTGATGCTTTATAGATTCTTTTACGAAATATACCTGGGAGCTCAGCATATTTTCTATCAAATTTTTAATAACTAAATATATATCTGATATTTATCTGCATATCATATAACATGTTTTCCACAATTCGAATCATGAGAGACGACAAACAATTCTGAAGGGATGAACACGAAAAAAAAACAATAAAAAAAGTTATCGAAGACTTACTTTTGAATATAAAAAAGTTACGAATAATTTTAGGACTTCATGAACACCATGCTAAATGAGAACATCTGTACCAAGTAGAATAAAAATAATACACATTTGCATGAGAAACCCTGGAATGAGAAACCAAAATCAGAAGGAATCATCTAAACTAACTTTTCTCCTAATTCGGAAGGTCCAAGTACACTCACAACTATGAGCTTTTTTAGCAGATGTCAAAAAATAATGGGCCTTATTATTTTTTCATTGACACAAAAGTGAATTCAAAACAAATATTCACCAACTCTGTTGATGAAACATCAGGTGATTAAGAGTGTATTTCATCTCTTGAAGATGTCAACATGAATGTTGAAACGCTCATCGAGAAGAGTGATGCAGTTCTGATGTTTGGGTTGGGTATTTGTTTAGGATGTATTCTACGCCAGAAACTCCAGTTCTACTTTTCAACATTGAAGTTACTCATGAACAACTAATCAAATTACATTACTCATACATAAAATATAATACAACAAAGATTTCAGATATGATCCTCAATTATTTTATTTTCATAAATATTGAGTGAAGAATCATTCTCCAGTATTGAATGACACAGGAATCACATCATGCCACCACCAGAGGACAAACTCAGCATCGCCCGATTCTGCAAAATGTACTAGTTTGTTGATTTATTTCATTTAGTTAGTCGATTTCTAACATTCACACAGTCAAAACAACCGTTGGGAGCTTATACAAATAGTAATTTTCCGAACAATGGATATTTTCATAGAGGACGGTCGATAATATTTTTGGCGCAGCCAGTAGGATAACCAGAAATGAGAAGAATCGTGTTTACGATTGACTGACTATGTAACACAAAATCAATTTTTTTTAAATCAGTTCTGTGGACTTCAATCCCATGTGGATTATCCAACTTTGGAATCTCCAAATTATCGCAGGCTATATAGTAAACTATATGGTGAATTATTAAGTATTGGTCCACCATCGTTATTCATAATATTATGGGCATCTGGATGCCCATGAGAGCTTGCCTAATTAATCTTAATGAACTGAACCTATGGAGTGGTTTTGTTGCAAAACATGATGGGCGACTGCTGTTTTTCTGGTCTTCCATATTTTCGGCGTGCCAAGTGTTCCATATATCTTATTTTGATAGATATATATGTCTGTCCATGATACTTTGCATCGTAGTCCTTACATTTAATTTCGTAAATTGCAGACTTTTCCGAATTCTCGACTTTGTCCTTTGGATTTTCTGAAAGGCTCTGTAGTATATGACTTGTTTCAAATCTTCATGTAAATTTTCCTCTTGTACAATCTTCTATTTGAAGATGATCACTTGGTTATCGAAACACGTGTAGAGATGTTGAAAATAACGGTTTGGTGTTGATAATATCATTTATCAATAAAACCACGGGGAAAACGTTACAATTCAATATGTTTTCTACCTGATATAATCAAATTATATACTTGTGTGATATTTGTATACTTTTATGTGTGATGAAGTTACTACCTTTGTGATTTCTGATTCAACATTTCGAAAAAGTTGGTGATATCAAAGTCGCTACTCTGTCATAAGACATTTTTTGTTGGCATGTATATTCTATCATCTTTATGTACTCAGGCGATAATTCAGAAAATCACTTTATTTCTATTCAATACCATATGAAATCTCCAATCCCTGTAGGCTACTCTGAGATAAATAAATAAAATATTTATTTTTGTGACTTATCTTAGATTGTATAACTATTTCGTTGGGCAACAAAACATATTTTCTTTGGCCTGTAATCTATGGAACGATATCCGATGTGATGAGTTACATGATCGATGTCTGTTAATAAAACGTAATCACGCTCATAGACTGATTTATATATGAATTCATGTTTGTGCTGTGAATGAAACTATTGTAGTAAACAAGTCTATCAGAAGATTTTAATAACATTTCTGAAAGGAACGGATAACTATTTGTGAAAACAATAGGATGATAGAGGGATCTACACTATATCGCTGTCTTGCTCCTCTTTTTTCATTATGATTTAATCTAACGGTTGAGCTGAAAAATTCGTGGGCTGATATAAAAAAAATATTTGATAAAACTCCATTTCATTATTCAATATAGTTGCTTTCGAAGGCGACAGAACTATTATCGCTATCATACAATTTTTCGATACGATTTGCCTTTAATATCAAAATAGGCCTCAGTTTCGACGATCACCTCTTCATCGGCACTAAATTTCTTTCCAGCAAGTATTCTCTTGAAGTTTGAGAACAGGAGTCACTAGGAGCCATATCTGGAGAATACAGTGGATGCGGAGGAAATTTTGCTATCGTTTCCATTTATTTGTGAAACGGTGTATTATTTTGATCAACCAGCACAGCAAAATCTGCGATTTTGTCCTTCAAATGCTTCAATAACGCTATGTGATAGTCGCTGTTGATGTTTTCCTTTTTGAAGATAATCGATGGATATCATACCATCCGCATCCCAAATTACTGATACCATAACCTTGCCAATTAACTGTTGCGTCTTTGCACACTTTGCACAGTAATTAAATTTAATTGATCTATTTAATTTTTATACTTGTATTTGAATTTCCTGATATAAAATCCCTTCAATTGCTCGGGCAATGAATTATAGAGTTTTACAGCACCAAAAAGAAATAATCTCTGAAACTCTGAAGTGCGATGTTGTGGCATAGTTAATTTGTTTTAATGTCTAATGTTTCTTGAGTGAATATATTTACGCAGAATCAGTTTTTGTATTAGAAGGGGAGAAGAGGGAATGGTAATCAATTTATGAATAAGACAACCCAAATGATGAGTCATACGGTTTTTCATATTGAGCCAGCGGGAGTTTTTAAAGTCTTCAGAAATTGAATCATACTTATGAATTTTGCACTTTTTGTAGTTTTTTTTTATCTGAATCATATAAGTATGGCCCATATATGAAGTCACAGTAGTTGAAATGGCTCAGCACCAAACTATCACAAAGCATTCTTTTTAGAGGTTGGCTCAAAATAAAACGATTACATTACAACAGGTTCAATGGCATAAGTTTTTTCATTAAATTTTCAACATGACTAGTGAATCTAAGATCAGTGTCAAGCATCATTCCTAAGTTTTCAGCTGTAGTGACAGGAGTCAAGATAGTATGATCTTGTTCTAAATAGAAATTGTTTTCTGCAAATTTACGATTATTCTGCGATCCAAGATGCATCATCATTGTTTTATTAGGATTAACTTTCAAATCATGTTCACTCGATAGCCCATTGATCAAATCAAGATCAGTGTTGAAGAGATTTTGTGCCTCAGCATATTCATCGATTTTAAAGTGCATGTATAATTGTATGTCATCAGCATACGCCTGTATTTTACATTTCTTGACGGACGAGATAATGTCAGTGGTATAAATGATAAACAATAAAGGTCCCAAAAAGGAATCCTGTGGTACTCCTGATAGAATATCGAAAGGTAAGGAGTAGAGACCATCAACAACAACTTTTAGAGATCGACCAAGTAAATAAGACCAGATGAGGAATAAGGCAGCTCTATCAAAACCATAATATTTCAGTTTCATGCAAATCAGCCCATGATTGATGGTATCGAATGCTTTCGAAAAATCTAGTAGAACCAGAGTGCTAATCATTCCCTCATCGAATCCCTCAACAATGTTTTGTGTAACAGTGGCAAGATCTGTGGCCGTACTAAAACCCTGCCTAAAACTTCTTTGTAATGGTGATAACAAATTATTGGTATTGAAATATTCAATAATTTGTAAATAACTAACACTTTCAAAAATGTAACTCATGGTTGGCAGAAAAACTAGCTGGATCCATTATTCTTGGTAATGGGTTTCCCAACAGCAATTTTCCACAGGCCTGGAAAATATGAACGTTCAAAACAACAGTTGATGATATTTGTGATATATTTATCTATGAACGGACTACAAAGTTTCAACATTCTGATTGAAATATTATCAACCCCTGAAGCTTGACTTTTAATATTATTCAGGATTTCATGAATAGATTCTTCAGTAGCGAATCGAAATGAGAAGTTATCTTTAAATAATGATTTGACATTACGGCTGTGTAACGCGTATTTTAAGTGTCATAGCTTTGTTGATCTCGGGTGCAGTGTATTCAATCCCAAGGTCACTCGAAGATGTTCCAGTTCTTCTCCTAGATGCTCTGGTCCACATATTCTTCGAGTCCGTTCCGTTAGAGTGAAGATGATTTCTTTCTTTTGACTATGATGGTGACTCGATACTGCGATACTGCGTGCAGATAACTATCTGTGTGCGTGGGTTTTCGGTACACTTTGTGGGTCAGTCTAGTTCCACGTCGTTCGATCAGTACATCTAGAAATGCTATTCGCTGGTCCAGTTCAGTCTCCGTGGTGAACTTGACGCTTGGGTGTTGAGCATTCAAGTGGTCGTGTAACAGGTTCAGAGCGTCCCTTCCATGTTTCACGAAAACAAAGGTGTCATCCACGAAACGTAGCCACAAAGTCAGCTTCAATCGCCACGCTATCTAGTCGCTCATAGAAGCTTTCCCTCCATTGAAAGTAACTCCCCTTGAGTAATGCTCTGAAGAGTTCGACGATATCACTCAGAAACAAGTAGGCTAGCTCCGTCTGAGAGTCTATCAGTGGGACATTTGTAAACAAAGATATAACATCGGAGTTGACCAGAATATCCGTCGGCTCCAGAGTTAACCCAGCAAACACACTCGTTACATTTACGTAAATATGACATAAAATTAACGAAACAAGTTCATGTAATACATATACGTAAATACTCCATTACATTTCTAAGATACTTTTACCCCATATTTACATGAATAATTTATGTGAATGAGTCGAAGCTAATACGTAAAAACTTACGTCAATATGGTATATTATGTTTCACTCAACTCGGTGGAAGTCATCTTGAATTTTGACAGGGAGCCTGGCTCCCTTACCCTTTGGACTGTTGTTTGCCAGAAGGACGAACGGGTCATGACTGATGTGGGTGTTAATGGTATGGCGGCATGAGTGTCCTCAGACATCAGTACCGTCCTTCACGGTGTACCCCTGCCTGGCTGGGGTGAATTGGATGAAAACGTTCTTCATCTTTAAACGAAAGATAAAGAGGCCTCATTCGACAGAGTGTCGGGGCCTTCTATATCGGGAGGGGTCGTCCACCGTATAATCCATAGCTTTCCTGACTAATGGGCACTTAACTGTGTGCTGTGTTTTCAGGTTGGTAACATCCAGATGCAGTTGACTTTTTGACAGATGAGAATTTCTCTGAGTTTTTGAGTTATACGTTGGTCTGTGTGAAGTTCTGTGGGAGAGGCTAGAGTTTTTGAAACATTCTTATCACGTGATATATTGAGATTTGTCTTTTTGTTGATGAGTATTTTTTACTAAAAAACACTGGAGGCAGAGTTTGGTCAGGAAGTTTTGGTTTTCAGAGGATGCTTTTTCCAGTTAATGATTTCAAGTTTTTCTGCGAGAGAGTGTTATATTTCTTTATATTTACTCACTAAAATTATATAAAATATATGTAAAATAATGACATTAATATTACGTAAAAATTAGGTTGGATTTGTAGCGGATATTTCATCATAACAGAGATGTAAGTTTTACATAACATAGTTATATAACACGTATCATCAGTTATGTAACATTCATGTCAATTTTACATAACTGTGTTTGCTGGGAAGTCCCTAATTTTACCAACGATTGGAGACACTTTGACAAGCATGTTACATCCATTGCCACATATCGACTTATCAGTTTGTGTTTTGGCGTGGAACAGCTGCAAACACTGCTCAGAATCATCAAGTCATTGTTATTTTTCTTCGATTGTGAGCTCGCTCGGCACAGAGCTTTCGCATACCCAAATATTCATGCGCGATATATGTTTGAAGCCTCAGCTATCTTGATCAAGTTCACTTTGCGATCATCCAAAATGATTTTGTAGACTTTCATGATGTTTTCGTCGGTAACAGACTCTTTGGGGCGTTCATCGTCTGCGTGGCTCATTTCACCCCGTTTAAACTCAGGAAACCACTTCTCAACGGTTGATTTTCCAAATAATGTTTATCAAGTCAAGCTTTGGCTTCAACGGCACGAAATTCCTTTTCATCATCAAACTAACAAGAGTTGTTTCACTCTAAATATTTTATTCTATCGCACAAACTAATAGTCCGTCAGCTGTGGAATTTGTACACGTGTTACGGTTAACTGAAAATGATATGGATGTCATACTAGTAGCGTCATCTGTTTGTGATCTCTCGAACTTTTCAGCCCACCTTATATGATAATTATGAATTGTTATTTCAAGACTTACTTGATGATCTCCCATGTTTCGTCACCAAATGTCTTCGTGACGAGTAGTTCCAGTGCATAGTTGACGAAACCATACTGAAAATAAAAAAATATCATCACTTAACGTTTTCAACGAGGGAAATTCTCAAAGGAACATGTTGCTAAGCAATACAGACTCAATAAAAGTATTTTCGTTACATATACAGGGTGTAACTCAAATAATGTCATTATTTCTTTAAAAAAATCGATGATGTGATAAAAAGAAATGTGCCCACATATAAACTCAAAAGAAAATGTTCAACTTACTTCATGATGGATACTATACAAACTATAATTGAAAAAAATAAAGTACACAAAAGATTTAAAAAATATGCAGGACAACTTTTTTTCTCAATTACGTAGACATTCCTAACGGTTGATTCAAAGGTATTACGATAACTATACAAATAATATCGAAAATGAAATCCTCATTGATTCTAGAAGTTTCTGAAAGTATATAAAATAAAAAAAAAACAAAATAATTCGAATATACCTCAATCAGTATTTTCAGATGATCTGTGAGCAGACACCGGAGAAGGCATATGTGAATTATTTTCTAAGTATTTTAAGAGTGTATATATTCACGACCCGCTTGCAAATGATCGTCTGATGCTTAATGATAATCTTGAGTACTCTGTTAGTATTTCTGAACAGCAAATTTCTGAAGCGATTAATGATATAAACATACGGAAGTGTCCTGGTCCAGATGGCATACCAGGGATATTTATAAAAAAATGTAAACAGAACTTATCACCACCCCTTTTTCACATCTATAATTTATCTCTACAGACAGGAAGATTTCCTAGTAAGTGAAAATCTTCTATCGTCATGCCACTCCTCAAAGGTGGTGATAAGCGTAACGTTTAGAATTATAGACCTATTAGCAAACTATGCATTCCCGGAAAATTGTTTGAAAAAATTATACAGAGAATTATTTTAGATCATGCACAAAATGAAATAATAGTACAACAACATGGTTTTTTCCCCTGTAGATACATTGATCCTAATTTAATCGAGTTTACAGATTATGTGTTTAAGAGTATGGATGATCTGATGCAAGTGGATGTGATCTACACGGATTTCAGCAAGGCTTTCAATAAAATAAGTCACAACTTGATCATTGAAAGACTTGCGGAGATCGGGATAGATTGGCATCTTCTGGTGTGTAAATCGTCATACATTACAGGAAGGCATCAAATTGTGGATGTTAACGGTTACCAGTCAGAAACTTTTGTGGTTACATCAGGTGTACCACAGGGGAGTCACTTGGGACCATTACTTTTTATAATTTATATTAACAATATTGTTGAAATATTTCAACATTCCAACTTATATACCGATGACCTCAAGATTTATCTAACCATCAAAGAAATCCAGCACTGTGACAGATTGTACAATGATCTTGAACCATTATCAGCAATCTGTGGCAATAGTAGCCTATAGTTAAATCTCGATAAATGTCACAAAATAACTTTCACCTGAAATAGAAATTCCATTGATTTCCAATATCAAATAGGAAATCACACAATCAAAAAGTTAATGAAGTACGTGGTTTGGGAGTGATAATGGATTCTAAAATGATTTTTAAATCCCACATTGAGAAGACCGTTAATGTGTGTAATCGTTTATTGGGTTTCATTATGAGAAATACAAGACATTTCAGAAATGCAAAAACACTTCTTAATCTATATTACTTTTATGTATATAGTCGTTTGAACTTTGCATCTGTCGTTTGGAGTCCACAATATTATCAATGTAAATTTCCGTCCAGTTTTAAAAAAGTATTCTTTGTTGTCTCTCACAGATACAAGAGAAATGTCAGATATAATAATGCTGTACAAATTATTCAATAAACGTGTCGATTGTTCTACGTTGATAACAAAAATTTCATTGAATACACCTTGCAGAGACTGGCGAAACCATGATCTCTCTGCAACCTAATTTAGAAAAATCAATTCAGGAAAAAACTCTCCTTTATGCAGAATTGTCAGATCCTTCACTACTCATTGCAATGAAATTGAAAAACTGAGGTTGCCTTTCCTTAAATTTAATAAGTATGGGAAATCTATTTTTATTCATAATTAGTTATCGGTTCTTCATATACTGTTTTTTTTTATTTTTTGTTAATATTCACTACTATATAGTGTAATGTACACAGCATTGATATTTTGTTGACTATCTTTCATATGTGAAATGAGGATATTTTTTGGATTTATTCTGTTTGTATCCCTATTTGTGTAATAAATAAATGAATAAATAAATAAAATTCAAAGTGGTGATTTCTTGTCATATTTCATAAAAAAAGTTTTGATGAACATACCTATGTCCTAAGTTACTCCGTTTCCGAGTAACGGAGTGTCAAAATTTTACTAAAAATATTGTTTTTTTAATAATAAATAACTCAAGTGTCTCCTTGCCTATTTCAATGAAACTGGGTGTGTTTGTTAGCAGTGGTAAGAGGCTTCTTTTCATGAAATTGAATTACGGCTAATATTTCCAGTGGCGTCACGTAGGGTTACCTGATTGATATTTATGGTAATTTCATTTTACGCTCCAAGATTGATATTTTTATCAAATTGTACTACTATTGAAGAAAGTGAATTTTGATAGTTCAGACTTCCATTGTTTGATATGATATAATGTGATTTTGAATCTCTGAAAAAACAAATGAAATTAAAAATCAAAATGAATAACAAAAATATTTTGCAATAAATACAATTCAATGAAATGAGCAAACCATTGAGAATTGAACAATCAAAAATTAAATAAAAAATAAATGAAAAATTCAAACCAAGTTACTTCACCAAGTGAAGTTCATTTTTTCAATATCTTGCTCATTCAATTCAATATTTTTCGCTTATTTCCATTATATTTCATCTATTGCTCTATATAATTTTTATTTTCAGCTATTCATTTTAATTTTCACAATTTTATTTTTATAGGGAAATGAATATTTCGAAATAAATTTCTAAATAATAATCTCTTCCAACTACCTACACAGAAGGGTGTGGTAAACGTTTGTCAAAAAACAACTACTTCCCCGGTTGAAGCCACGCTGGATATTGAATTATATCCTACAGAAATTTATGCAAGATTCCTCACAGAGGCTAGTCTCGTTCATCCCGCAGCAGGGCCATGCTGAAATTGTTCAAGTAGATCTCCTGCAGACCGCGGTTTCGAGGTATTACCTCTCGTCAGTGCAGGAAAGATCCTACGCAGCAAAGTGTCTGAGACTCGATTAGTTGTGTTGAAATCATGAAAACCTAGAGAGAGGAAGAGTGTTGAGAGTGTCTTTTCAGGCTTCTGTTGATGAGCAGGTTTTTCTGCAGACAGCTGCCCCACTCTTAAACCCTCTTTGATCATAATACCTTTCAAAAAGTACAGGTTCGAAAACCTCACTCTTCCATTATCAATTGAACTCACAATGTATCATTCCAGAACTCATATTTATCAGTGAAGAAGAGGTCTGTTAGAGGTGTATTTTTGAAAAATATCTTGTGATAACTCCACCATTTGATAGAAACGTCGTAACTATAAAAAAATACAAATTCCTGGTTTCATTTCTACAATTTCTCCATTATTCAACTGTCTAACATCTGCGGATAGTTCCATAAATGACTTCCTCTGAATAAAACATGTAACCTAAAATAGCTATTATGGTCTCGTTAACGAGATGTTTCTCACTTTTGCTTCCCGTTTACAGTGTTAATAATACCACTGCAAAATTTGCAAGTCTAATTACACGGCTCCCTGGCGTATCCTTGGAAGTGCATACATTGTTTTGTAAATTCAAGTGGTGTAATTTGAATCCGTAATTTGAAGATGGTGTCTGTGGTTTATGGAGAAATTGAGGGTCTGAATTGGTGCTTATCTCGTTTATTAGCACGATTTAGGAGGAATATGGGACGATGATTGGAACCAGTTATTCGGGAGGCGAAACAAATTGATGGAGATATCAGCAAATATGAAATTAACCTTTTGAGTAATCGTTTGAAACAAGGTTTCATCATATGTAGCAGAACCTTCATGATTTTTTTCCAAATATATCTCCACTTCTATTTGATATTATCAGAAAACAATTGAAAGTTTGAATGGAAGGATGTTTCCATGATAGTTCATCAGGGAGATCTCTTTCAGCAAAATTTGCAAACTTTCATTCTGCTTGAGCCTGAGCTACGGTAGTTTTCAATTTTACCAACCATTCAATAATAATAGTGATAATAATGTTTTTATTCCTTTGAAATGATCATTTAACAATGATATAGCAAACGTCAAGTAAAAAAATGTATAGATGTATAATACAGGGGTAATAAATAACATTGAGATTACACTACATTGATCACAATTATTTTAAAGTATACTCAAAATACTCATTAATAGAATAAAAACATTCCCCTAACTGAAAGGTAGGTATTCTTTAACTTTCCGTTTGAAAGTAGATATTAATGGGATACTCTTTATATTTGAAGGCAGACAATTGAATAACTTGGAGCCTGCTAAAGTGAATGATTTTTGAAACAATATCATACGATGTTGCTGCAGTTTGATTAGATTTTCATTTTTTGTTGGGTAATTGTGACACTTTGAATCAGTTTCAAATTCAGACTCCTTCTTTTTTACAAAAATCAGACAATTATAAATGTATATAGATGTTAGCGTTAAAATTTTTCTTTCCCTAAAAATGGGTCTACAGAAATCTGTGTGTCGAAGACCATACAATATATGTATTATCCGTTTTTGAGAGATAAATGCTCCAGTGGTGTTAATCCCCTCTCCCCAGAAGTAAGATAGTACTGAATAAACCATCACATAGTAAATGTTCAACAAATGCTCTTCATTCATAACCTTTTCAAGTTGTACCAATGCGTAAAAACCGGTGTTGATTCTCTTGCAAACATAATTTATGTGAACTTGTTAACTCAACCCAGAATAAACATATATGAAGTCCTAAAAATTTTGTGGTTTCCGATGGATAGATAGTGACATTATTTATATCAACCTGTATAAGCTCTTAGTGTCTTCGGTTGAAGAATTGAACTAACACCGTGTTGTCTGCA